GATTGACTGTTCGTTCCAGGCTGTCAGGGCATGGACAGTTATCCAGCTGGCCTGGACCCCTATCTGGATAGGTTGAGTACCCATAAGCCGATATCTGCATGTGATTTGCCATAGTTAGAACGCTGTAGGAGAAATAATGGTCACACTATGGAAACCCATTATGGAAATATGCCAGATAAATCACAAAACCCCATACGACAAGTAGATATGAGAAAATAGAAGAACCTGAATTTTAACAAAATTTTACGAAGTTTTACGAATTATTACGACTACATACAATAAAATGGAAGAAAGAAAATTAGCAAAAATACTTCAAGCTTAGCATCAACAAGACGGAATTCTCGGGGGAATTTATAGCAAATATTAAACAAAGAATTAGGACAATCGGCCAAGATTTGACTATAAAAACAACCAGAGAACCTCCACGGAAACTACTTTCCCACATCTGCACACGTAGCCGAGGGTGGAAGTACCACGGAACAAGGATTCATTAGGAATTAATGCAAAATTCAAAGTCGTGTTTATAATAAGAAATGTAGATGTCCCCCAAACGGACCCAACGAAGGTAATTACAGGGAAAACTACCCATAAACAACGGAGATATGACTAAAACTCCCGGAAAATGAGGACAACGTTTAAAAAGCAAGCACGAAGAACAACCAGTAACGACCAAGACGAGCTTAATAGCCCATTAGAAAGGAAGGGATCTAATCTTAATCCACCCAAATTTTCATAATAAAAGGATCACACATTAATGAGATATCCAATAACGGGAATAGCGACACCAAAAGTCCGAGCTCAGGGAAAAGACGATGTTTATGTAGGATCCATAAATAAAACATACAACGAAATTTACATGGAAATTATGAAAAATAGTTATGCAAATTTTCAGCCCAAACAGTGTAACGGGTCTATCGCCTAGACTCGAGACAGAGAGAAGGGGGAGGGTGGTAGTGTGTGCAGGTGTGGTTCGTGAGGCCGGGTCTTGGTCCGTGGGTGCTACTGAGTCTGCAAAAACCTCAAACAAACACTCACCTACGTCTCTCTTGGACGTCAAGGCTGAGTATTATGATGTGAGGGGTCTAAGACGTGAGCAACTAGCTCAGAGGGGGCGTTAGGGTCGTGGATGGCGTCTTTGCCACTTGGATGCAACTTCTGCTTGTCCCTTCACGGGTCTATTCAATACTAACTTGTTATGTACAAATTGTTATCTATTTTATATGAGTTGGAAATGAAATGAATGGACTGGGGGAATGTAAATGGGCCGTTAGGCAACCGTAAATGATGAATATCCAATTGGGAACAAAGAAACAATAAAAGAAATATGAATGAATGGGGAAAATGTGACAACGGGTCCGAAATGGGAAATGTAAAAGTTAACTCCGCAACGCTTCGCCACAGCGCCCGCCTATCCTCCCGTCAGAAATCTCCTCGTCTCCAGCTTTCCAACGAGCCCCTATTCGTCCCATTTGGTGCAGTACTTCTTGAGATGTGGCCATTGACAGGTGCTGTCAAGACCATGTGAGAGTATACTCCGTGCTGAACCATCCGGGTATGGGATTGCCATTCTGGGAAATGCTCCGGGGGTGAAGAAGGGTGGTAGAGCATCACTATCGGGTGGACAAATGGCTGGGTTGTGTGTGTGGGTATGGAGGTCTGGAGAGGGGGTCAAATTGGCGGCGTGGTTGGGCGTGGGAATTTTGCTTGGGGTTGTCGGGAATGATGGGGAAAATATGGAAAAATATGGAGTGAGTGTATGGAGTGTTGGATAGTGATAGAATGAGTATCGGGAGCGTCAGCGAATATGTACTGCGTGTTGGTGACCAAATTCCGCAGAATCCGACTTTTTGCGGTACATGGAGTTGTCCCCACAACAACGGTGCAGTCGTTGTGAAGTTATACCAATGATGGGAATATAGAAATCCGCATCATGTTTAATGACACGTGAGGGTGGCAATGCAAAGGGAACCGAGATCTGCACTTTGGCAGATCGCGAAGACCAATTTCCATCCAAATAAGGAAGAGCCCGGTCAAAACAAAGCACGGAAGGTGCAAAACAACCTTAGATCATGAGGGAAAAATCTGAAATAAATCATGGAAGCCCATATAAAGGATACAAACACCCACGCATACCATAAATCCTGAGCAATTAAACAGAAACGGAGCCCACATATGAACGACTACGGGAACGATGCATGTGATTACCAAATGTGCGTGTGAACTTTTGCTAACTCGACGAATACCAGGAAATAGAACACAACTTTAGTACCATTGGAAAGGTGGGAATAAATGAAAATTTATGATACCAAGAAGGTGAAAAACCATCCAGAAATGAATGAGATACAAGGACATGAAGTTAGAAACCTGAAAACGCGCGGGAAGACAGCTTCAAGAGGTCCAGAGCCCTAAATAAAATACATAAAAATATGATATCTTCGAGGACGACCTACTATAACAATGAACAATACATATGGAGGATTAGGATGTGATAATACAAAGGGGAATCAGGGGAGATGAACGAAATCCATGAAAACCACTAAACTACGATGGACCATGGCAGGAATTTTAGGGAACGATATTCTAATGAAGTGGAGAGCTATAATACATTCATTTGAGTAATTCTTGACTACTAGCAACTTTTGCTTTCGGTTCTAAACCTGAATAATTCACTCATTTACCATTTCAAGTCTCATTTTAACTAAATGTCGCTGAATAAAAATGGAATAAATCAGCTGAAGGTCTCAGTGCAGCCATATGCATAGTAATGTGAAGTTTGAATTCAGAATCACCGAGTCATAGCGAATTTAATGGTAAATATGAGGAATTTGAAATAGGAAACTGTGACAAATGCAGCGCAGTCAAGTTCTAATTAACCATTAAAATAGCTTAGGCGAGGAAGGACAATAAGGATTCTAGGCGCAGTCTGACTGCAGTAGAGCTGCAGTTCAGTGCAGCAGAGTGCAGTAGAACTATAGTGTGAAAATTTCATTTTTTATTCAGTTTGAGAAAAATACACTGTAAATAAATCCTGTAACTACGAGGTAGAGCGTGAAAAAGGAAGGCAACCCTGTCATATCCATCCCTGGCCAATGACTTCCAGTACCTCCGATCCCTCCAGTCTACCTCCGCTCCTTCTTCACTAACCTCAGAGCTCCCATATTCCGCAATCCCCTCGGTACTCCTCGATGGTCACCACCCCCTCCTTTCAATTTATTACCTATGCCTCCCTAAGTATGGAGCCCTGAAGACTTCCAGACAGCTCCGATGTCCGCTAGTGCACCCCCGCCTCCGCTGGGCAATACACTCGCCTGCCCTGCAGAGCCCACCTTCGGGCCTGTCATATCCATACAATTCCGACCTCCGCTCCGGGCTCCTGGCACTCCAAACTCCGACTTCTGGAGCCCTACTTCCCTTCTGTCACCTTCTCCTTGCCGACTCCCAAGAGGTTATCCCACCTCTGGCTCGGACACCACCTTCAGTCCGACTCCAGAACATTCCGGGTCCGACCCCAACCTTGACACCTTCCAGATGAGTACGCAAAATCTATGCTCCCGACTCCGGACCTCTGCTCCGGAATCCCATTCATGTCTCCGTCTCCGGAACCTCCGGTCTTAGCTCTGACCTCGGACTTTGACCCCACCTCCGCTTATACCCATTGTATTGGTTAGCTCATTCCATTTAATTACCTTTGCCAATATTCCGGAGTTTAACTTCCGAGTTCGGACTTTCTGGACTTACCTCGGACCTTGCAACTATTGCATTGCCCTATTCAATTCCGCTATTCTCCCTCATTCCTATTTGGGCTGCTGCTTCCTTTCTATTCAGTCAGCTAGCCATTCCCCACTCCCAACCTCCTTCCTTCCTCCTTGGGCCTTGGCCCTTCATTCCTCCTTTGAGAAACACCATTGAGTCAAACCCTTGACCCTCGGTGTTGTTCCTCTTTCCATCTCCCTTTGTCTCCTTTCATCCTACCCTCACTCCTTTTGATTCCGGACCCCTCCTTATATACAATGTACATAGTAACTTGTAACCTCAGTCCGAAATCAACATGAATTCCCCCCAAGAGACTTTCCCTCTGCTAGATCCAAAATTAGGGACCCCCAGGACAACCAGCAATGGCACAGCACTCTGCCTGAGTCGCTGAGGCCAAGGTCCTTCCATGCTAAGTCTCCGATTCCACTCCAGAGTCATCTGAATCCGCCCAGTTCTAACAGGGCCTATCCCTCCTTTCCGTTTCTGGGTTATCGCCTGCCTTTCCGTTAACCCTGCAACCTGACTCGTCGGTAATATTCAGTCAGCTAACGTTAACCCTGTTAGTCCCGCTCCGTTCGGCTCCGCCATTTGCAGACCCATCTTCGCTGTAACCATATATATATCCAACTTGTACATAGGTTACACTTCAGTAATAAAATTGACTAGAGTTACCCCCCTTCAGTTCTGGTTGCCAGTTAGTAAGTTAGGGCACGGACGTGTTACTAGGCACAGCGCTCTTGGCATAAGTCGCTGAGGCTGAAGCCCTCCGCCATGGAGACTTTCCTTCGTCTCGAACCTGGTCTCTGACAGAAAGTGAGAGGAAGCCTTGTAGCATTGTTATTTTCTGCTGTTCTGATTTTTCCCGATTCTTCTTGGTCTCATTCCCAGCTGCTCCTCAATACTCCTGAAAGCTCCTGGGAGGGTCCAGGAGCAGCTGGGAATGAGACCAAGAAGAATTGGGAAAAATCAGAACAGCAGAAAATAACAATGCTACAAGGCTTCCTCTCACTTTCCTATTCACTTTTCAGACTTTCCCATTAATTCAGTTCTCATTATTTCTCAGGTCTCCAAAAGTATTTTCCATTTTTCTCCATCATTTCTTCCTCAATTTTGCAAATAATTATATATCCTGAAAGCACTTTAAAGGCACTATAGTTCCTGATTTTTTTTTTCCTAATTTTTTTTTTTCAACTTTTTAGAGACCAAAATTTTCCTCCCACTGCTCCTCATACTCCTCACCACTCCCAGCTGCTCCTGAACCCCCTCCCAGGAGAACACTATTGGCTCCAGGAGTGCCCAATCTGCTGTTTTGTCTCCCACATGCTCCAGCCACTCTTGATGCTCCAGAGCATAACGGACTTTTGCTGATGAAGCGTGCCCATCATGTGCAAGCAGCAATGCAATGATGAGGAAAACATGCTCAAATGTGAACCATTTGTGCATTGGAATGATGTCCAAGATTGTTAAGAGTATTATGTAGATCATTGAGTGACTTGGCCAATTTGGGGGTGTATGATCCTGGGTTAATGGCAACTAGCTGGTGACAGAGTTTGACACTTTCTTCAATGAATGGGAGTGCCTCTGAGTGCTGTCCAAGATAGGAAAGAGCAATATGTAAATTGTTGAGTGACCCAGCCAAATACAGGGTGTATGATCCTGGGTTAACAGCAACTAGCTGGTGATAGAGTTTGACACTTTCTTTGATGAATGGGAGTGCCTCCAAGTGCCATCCAAGATTGGAAAGAGCACTATATAGATTGTTGAGTGACATGGCCAAATCTGGGGTGTATGATCCTGGGTTAATGGCAACTAGCTGGCGATAGAGTTTGACGCTTTCTTCAATGAATGGGAGTGCCTCCGAGTGCTGTCCAAGATAAGAAAGAGCAATATGTAAATTGTTGAGTGACCCAGCCAAAGATGGGGTGTATGATCCTGGGTTAACAGCAACTAGCTGGCGACGGAGTTTGATGCTTTCTTCAATGAATGGGAGTCCCTCTGAGTGCCATCCAAGATAGGAAAGAGCATTACATAGATTGTTGAGTGACATGGCCAAATCTGGGGTGTATGATCCTGGGTTAACAGCAACTAGCTGGCGATAGAATTTGACACTTTCTTTAATGAATGGGAGTGCCTCTGAGTGCTGTCCAAGATTGGAAAGAGCGCTATATAGATTGTTGAGTGACATGGCCAAATCTGGGGTGTATGATCCTGGGTTAACAGCAACTAGCTGGTGATGGATTTTGACACATTCTTTGATGAATGGGAGTGCCTCTAAGTGCTGTCCGAGATCAGAAAGAGCATTATGTAGATTGTTGAGTGAGCTGGCCAAATTTGGGGTGTATGCTCCTGGGTTAACAGCAACTAGCTGGCGATAGAGTTTGACACTTTCCTCGATGAATGGGAGTGCCTCTGAGTGCCGTCCAAGATCAGAAAGAGCATTACGTAGATTGTTGAGTAAGCTGGCCAAATTTGGGGTATATGATCCTGGGTCAATGGCAACTAGCTGGCGACAGAGTTTGACACTTTCTTCAATGAATGGGAGTGCCTCTGAGTGCCGTCCAAGTCTCCGAAGAGTGACACACAGACTGTTGAGTGACTGGGCTAAATGCGGGGTGTAGGAACTTGGGTCCACAGAAAATAGGTAACGGCAGAGTACAACAGAATCATTTGCTGCCTCATATGCCTCCTGGAATCTTGAAAAAAATTTCAGGTTCAATGGAAGCCGGGTAAGCACATTAGCCAGTGCACTAATTGCCCTGTGGTCAACAGCCAACTGGAAGACCATGAGCTAGTTTCTTTAACACAATCCATAACCCATACCTTAGCCCACTCAGGGAGTAACAAGATACTGACATAGTTTTCCATTCTCACACAGACTTCCACCCACCGAGTTGCTTCCTGACTCAGAAACATACTAACTGGCCCAGCAAGCTCCTCAGACCATCCCTGGACTCCACTGAGGTGATGAATGATGTGGCGACAGGCATAACAAAAATGCTCAGATAATTCCTTTGGAGGAATGCGCGGCATTTCATGTTTTTTGGACAGGTGTTTAATCTGTCCTAAGCCCTTCACAGAGCAGAGATCCTTGTTCAAAATCTCGGCACACCGCAGGGAAACCCTGGCATTCTCCACCCCCACAGCTATGAGTGTGCAATGAGAGCTGATTGTTTGGGGATCGATCCGATCGACAATAAAATCGCGGAAAGATTGGTGTAAGATGCGAACCGGAATGTGGGAATCCTCAACTCCTGAGAGCAGAGGAGCAAGTTCGGCCAACACATATCGAACAGAAGAATTGAGGAAAGGTGACAAAATTGCGTCCCAGGCTGTGATGGACAGAGGCTGCCGAGCAACGAAGATCGCTCCCATCATGATTGGGTAATCGTGTGCAAAATCTTCTTCCTCCCAAGCACACTTCTTCAAAATGCTTCTATACAAGTCATCCATCATCTTCTCAGCCGGGACCTCTGGTCGTTTGGCACCAGTGTCAAGTAGACTTTCTAGTGTCCTCATAGGATCCTTGTTGGCCATCTTCATGTAGCGAAAGATGGTGCTGATCCAGATAAACAAGCCATTTGCTCGTTCCGAGATCACTTGTACCATTTTATCCTCATCCTGAAGATTACGCTGTAAATCCTGATGTACCTTCTTCAGCTTTCGCAGCTGGAAGCGTATGTACCTAGCACAGTCCTGCACGTTTGCCTCATCCGAAAGATCGATACTAAGACGACCAATAGGGTAATTGGGGGAGAGGTAGCGATTCACGAGACCAAATTGTCTTGATGTGATGAAGAATTTGACGGAAGATGGTAGTCTGGGCACTTCATCTCCAAGGATTTCGGCAAGGGATCCGAACACTTCTTTGTCACATTCATCCAAAGCGTCGATGATGATCACCACAGGGCGGTCGGAAGGTGGAGGTTTATGGAGCAGGGGTGAAGCCACTAATTCCTTGAACTGCACCGTGAATGGAGCTGTTGAGAGGGTGGGGTCTTTTCGAAGGGCAGAGATAATGAAGGCACGGTAATCTGCATCACGCTTTGCTAGAGCTTGAGCAATGCCACTGAATAACTGGTCCGGCCGTGGCTGTTCGTCAACTGTGAAGAAAAAGCACAGCAACAGGATAGTCTCCCTGTTACATCTATCTGCAATCGTGTGCACAATCGATGTCTTGCCAGCGCCGACCACAGAAGTCAGTAGCATCAGCCGGTTCTCGTTATCCCCGGTGTTACGACACCAGTTCATAATACGCTCCGTGAGATCGACCCTGGTGCCTTCTAGGCATGCCTCTGTTGAATCATGGTGGGCGATTTGAGGGTACCGGAGATTATCAAGGATTGGGTCACTCTCCAGCCGGCCTAAGCTGTCCTCTATGGTCGATAATCTGACACCAATTGTTAAATTCGTCCTAAGCTACACCGACCGAACATCAGAATGATTATGGAATGCCGTGAGGAAAGCTACCTGAAATGATGTCAACGCTTTGTCAAAGTCTCTCTTTAGGTCCTCGATTCTCCCTGGGTCTCGATAGTGGGACCATGCATTTCTTACAGCTGAGCGTTCCTCTACTTTTCTATGTCTTCGTTCAATTTTGGACCGGATCTCCTGTAGTGCGCTGGTACTGGACGTAAGTATGATATCGAAAACCACCAAAAACCAATACAACGTACTTCGCAAGCTCTGTGACACCCTCCATCCATGACGTTGCCTCTTTCGTTGACACATCATAAGACTTTATGGCTGAAACTACCCTAGCCATAGTGCTAGCTACGTATTCACCAAAATCAGCCCATTGTTTCTTGTTCCCCTTGAACTTCTAAGTGGCGCAAACCAGCGTGAGCTTTCATTCATAATCAAGCTTGAATCATTACCAACTTTAACCTCGTCGAGGATGGAGAGTGCACCGCCAGTCGCCATCCTTAGAGGGGGACACCAATCAGCGGTAGCATTGACAACCCTGAGAATCGGAACCGCCATATCAACTCCCGCCACAAGGAGATTATCGATCTTTTGCCTGAGAGCTTCAGCCTTTTGCCGCAACGACATGGTTGACAGCGCACGAGTTGATGGAGGAGAGCGTTTTGGTCACGCAACGCACGTGTGAGCCCCTAAATGCCCAAAAGCCAGAGCCACGAGGCATCCGTCTGATTATAGAAGGTCGAGGAAGGATATGATATACGGATTGACTATTTGGTCGACCATACATACAGACCTCTAATCCGGTACTATCAGCGGCGAATTCTAGAGTCTGCTGCACGAGAGCCAGTATCCCACTGCAGTTGATGTAGCAACCCGCGTCGTGAGAGGCAAAAGGGCACTAAGCGCCGTATTGCCGATGTGGTGCGGCCGGGCCGCACAACACTGGATCACCAAAGCTCTAACACTTCACGTTGTTCGCACTTGTAGTTTCACCTTTGTCTTGCAGCGCCGTTAGTGCCGCGAAGCCACTGGTCAAGCACAACGGGATGACCTGCAGCACGGTATCCAACGAACAGTGATATCATGCTCAGACGCTCGTCGGACCACCAATAACACCACGTCCTCACAATTTACATCACACACTTCACTTGGTTTTGAGTGAGCGAACAAATCTATAACACATTTCCCCTTCACTGAACGCTGCACCCCGACCCCCCGTCGCAATAAACCGCACTCTGGTAAATCCCTAAGGAGCAAGCTGCAAGACTAACGGGCATTTGTCGCGCCGGCTTGCTCCTGCCAGTTGTTTCAGTCGCCAAAGATGTCCAGATTTGTCAATAATAATCCATACAATTCAGCAGGTAGATGAACGACCAGACTTGCATCAAGAAGAGGGCACTCGCCATTGCTAATCTTCAGATGGACCCCACAAAATGCTCCCACCACTCGCATTTCCGCTGACTGCTCGCAGGGATGGGAAGCCGTCACCCAACAAATTAAAATTAGTTACTGTAGAGCACCTCACACTCGGAGGCCACGTCATTACTTTGAGCGATCGGCGAGCTTCACAATCTCCTCTCCGTTGTACGCAATGATATATAATGAATGATCCATCGATCCGACTAGAAAACGTTCGACATCAGTCATTTCGGGGATATTGTATGGACTAACAGTGAAGTGGGATGGTTCATTGAGATTCTAACACCACTGAACCTTCAGCACCGTCAACAAACGTCCAGTTTGACAGTTATAAGCTTTTTGGATTGGCTAGGGAAACTTTAATTTCTCTCCCGATGAGAGCCAAGTATCTAGATCCCAAACTTATTCCGCGCAGGTCAGTGAGAAATGGTGGCTCCGGATATGAATAAAACTGACTTCTCAAATTATCATCATAGCACGTTGTCACTATTTCCCTCCCTCTAGGGTCCCAAAAATCTGAGCTAACACTGTATTTATGCTCAATTTGCCCAAGGATACAGCCCCGACCAAGTTTTGATGAAAGGAAATCCGTGGCAGCCTCGTGATCTTCTTCTAGCACAGGAGGCGGCTTCGCTTTGGAGCCGTCATCATCACCCTCAACAAGTGCTCTAGTTTCAATTAACATAAGCTTTCGAAGGTCCCATATTCTGCCATTGGAGGAGCAGGTTAAGTCCAAAGCACTAGTAGCATTGCTGACGCTTACTTCAGGGAAAGATCGTTGCTCGCGGTGCACAAGAGGTGACTCCTTCCAGCAGCAGGATTGATGCTGACATTCAATTTAGCGTTCACTTGTCTCCGCAATCGACTGCCTTCGCGGAGGTTCAAAAAAGGAGATCCATAGTTCATTCCCACATGACGCGATATTAATGGATGTGAGAACTGTCGAAGTCGAGGCAAGAGACAAAAGCTCAGTAGATTGTCAACTTAGATTGCCCAGATGTCAAGGAGGTCACATGCAGCCTGGAATCATAGGATGTCGTAGAAACCTATGTAACGGAATGAGCTGAGTGATTCCCATCCGCCGCGCCTTTCACTCACACCACATGAGCATCGGTCGGGCTGAATTTGATGCAAGATATCGAGCTCTTTGGAGATCCTGGTCAATGAGGCTGTAAACACCTCCTCATTCTCGCGTATCATACTCGTACTCTTCGTTCTCTTCGATGGCGCCGCGCCAACGCATCCCAAATACCAAGTTGGCCATGCTTATCCCCAACAAAAATGAGATCTTTCGTTTTCTCCGGGTGGTAAGCCATGGAATAAACACTCTCCCCTCGTAACCTTGGCTCGCGATAGCACGATCCATGCGGCTAAGTCTTTTCCTAAATCAGGATCGCTGCCCCGCCTGTGACAGCTTCCCAGCGCCGTAGCCTCGTGGGTAACTGCTTTCTCGAGAAAAGCCACGACACACTGGGAAAATGCACGAGCAATGCCTCTCCACCTGAAATGGTCAGACCTGCTTCTGCCTCACGCTGAGGTTTTTGACCCTCGTGTCGGAAAACGCCTTTCTGACTCGCTCCTTGCGCTCTTCAGGACCCGCATCAAGAAAATTGAAATTATTGTCGAATCCGTGCATTTCCACACACTCGGAGCTCCGCTGCAGCAATCTTGGCAAGGGTGGATGGCGCCTTATCCTTGACTATTCTTCTTCAAGCTAGCGACATTGGTATTGGCAGATACTCCGACCTTGAAGGGCGCTCCAATAGGCCTGTTTTCGTGATCCATGAGGAGGCACCAGAGTTTCATGGCGGTGGTTGGGCCACGTTGTAGCAACCTCGAATGCTTGCATGGAATATCCATCGAATCAAACGATAACGCGGGTAGGACTGCTGATGCACCCACTCATTCACCCCGGTGATTCTCCGGCCCGATCGCGGAGTTCGTCTCTGCGTTCATGTATCTTGCTTCTCGGTGCTCGAATTATGTATCCCTTTCCCTGTCCCGCGATGTCCAAAGCTCTTCGAACACGATTCGTAGTTCCAGTCAAATGTCAAACATCACCGTCGGGTTCGTCAAACAGGCTATAAATGGTCATTGTCGATCGCTTCACACTGTTTTTTTTTAGTCGCCCATCGGGTAGAACGTTAGTGGCGTAATGCTTCGCTACTAGCTCATGCTTCCTCGAGTTCTATCTTTCTGCAGCTTTCGACACATCTTTCTTAAGGTGGCTATCTCCGAGTACGCTGAAGTGGAAACCCGGGGCTGTTTAGTCGCACTGTTGAATTGAAGAATCAAGAAAAGAAAATTATGAGAGTATGCTGATTATGCAAATGAAAGCAGCCCCAAAAGTGGGCGTCAGCCGACCCTCGCTAGTTATTCCTCATCTATAGGTCACTACTCAGGGCGACGGTTCCCATCTAGCAGAACCCCTGGTGCTAGTCAAGTTGTCCTACATATGGCTGGGACGGTATTCGGACGACGTGAGGGTAGACTGCTAAGGAAGAACGCAAATTGCCTGGTATAAATGACTCTATATACACACATGTTTCCAAGCTGACTTTCCAACACTTATGCCATTCGGGAGGATATTCGATTGAATCGAGCGCTGAAGCGCTAGGGTGTGACCCAACCCAAACATTAATGTGGACCCACACGATGCCTAGCAAATTGTTCCTTGTGAAAGCCGGGGTGTAATTCTCCCTGATCGCCTGGGAAACGTTCATCCTGGAGTGGTTTCGGTGGTTCTGAAAGGGGTATCCTTCTGTCGAACTGCGTTTTGCACTAAATTAGCGCCGCTTCCGTCTTATTGACGTAAAGTCTTAAATATAATGCCACTCCACCCGGACCAACGTGCGCAATCTTCTATGGAAGAATGTAGTCCTGGTCGATTGACTGCAATCAGGAGACAGATTGTCAGAATGCTATCAGACAAGGTGGGGCAAGTTGGTGGGTATTCCAAGAGCATACTATTTCCGCGAGTGAGTGCGACGAATACGGGTTGAAATGTGCTCACCAATAGGCCAACGTGAACCGAAAACGCCTTCTCATTCCCTCGAGAGGCGCTTCCCCTAAATCCGGGTTAATGCTGGTGACGTGGAGCGAGTAACAACACTACATGTGACCCATAGTCATGGGTGAATGTGTATGCAAAGAGCCATCGTGAGTCGGGTGGATGTACGTCACTGAGGTCAGCAATCTCGGCAAAACACTCTTCTTCAGGTAAGGAAGCACTTGAAGCCATATGGAACAATTGGGTAGCCATGAGGTAACAAACTATTGATGACGCAAGCACATTGGGTTCAAGTCCGTATCGAGTGGCGTCACTGGCTTGTCTCAGTAGTATTCCTGGTAGTTTCACATGCTTCTT